ACAGTGGTGGACCGACAAGCATGCAGATAGTATGGATGGTATCGGGAGGTTTGCCGCGTAGAGCGTTCACGAAATTTGGCGGCTAAAATTAATCCGAATAAATTCTTCAGAGCACTCTCCGTGGTAGATGCGAAAGAAAATGCAAAGAGATGCAATATATTAGCTTCAGTGAATCGAGCCGATCGGAAAGCACTCAGTCGTCGACGATTCGAGCCGCTCTGCGCTGGAGGCGATAAAGTGGAAGGAGCTGGTACTGGAGAGCCCCAGCCCAGAGATGGGAACAGTATTCCATGTGCGGCCGAACCTGCGCCTTGTAAAGTTGCAAGCGGTGTGCTGGCATGAAATACTGTCCCGCTCTGCTGAGCACGCCAAGCTTTTTAGAGGCCAATTTGGCCTTCTCTTCCAAGTGACCACGAAATTGCACGTCACTCGATATGTCGACGCCGAGGATTCCGATACTGGCTGAGGCAACAAAGGGGGTGCCTTGAAACTGAGGAGATACGACAAAGGGGTTCTTTTTAGCGGTAAACGCGCAAACTTGTGTCTTCTGAGGGTTAATTTTGACTAGATTTAGTGGCCCCCATTCCGAGACTTTGTTCAGCAAAGACTCGACTTCGGACACAAGTATGTACCGGTACTCGCAGACGTTTTCCCAAGAAATATTGGCACGGCCGGTGTACAGAACATCACCAGTGATGTCATCCGCATAGCAATGATTGTTACCGGTTTGCAACACATCATTGATATGCAGAAGAAACAGCGTTGATTATAGCAGGCGGCCTTGTGGAACGCCAGCATTAATAGGCTTGTAATCGGTGCATGCACCGACTACAACGACCTTGATGCTCCAATCTGCAAGAAAGCTGGTGATCCAATTGCACAATTTCTCGAGAAGTCCATAGGAAGGGAGCTTCGAAAGAAGCGCTTTGTGCCAAACCCGATTGAATGCATGGAGCACTCACACCGCGGGATGGTCGGCGGTGTGCTCCTCCTGAGTTAGACGCAAAGAAATAGCCTAGCGCTTTCTCCTTTGCGGCATGGGCCAGTGAGTCGTCCTCCCTGTGCAGAGATGGAAAAGATAGCTGACAGAAATTCCCTTGGACAGCTTTGGCGAGAGACCGGAATGCACTGGTTCCAGAAGGAAGACGAACTAGTTGCTCGCCAATTCTGTTTATGTGCTCTGACTTTGCCTTGGCAATAACTCTTGAAGGACCTTTTTTTTTTTTTGCATGGGGAAATGCCTACGCATACCCGCCTCGCGGGGGCAAGGACGGGTTATGTCGGACTCGCACCGACTAAAACCCCATGGTGTTCCACCTTTGTCGCATATTGGCAGGGCTACGGGAACGCTTTCGCACACATCCGCGGCCCTACCAGCGACTGCCGCCCCATGGCAGCACCTCCTCGGGAGAGGAAAATTCCTCCCCGTTCTCCTTCCCAGGTAAGGCGCACCAGAACACATGGTGCGCCTTCCTACACGGCCTCCAACTACGTCTGTGCAACAGTCGCCCCCGCGTCCGATGCACAAAGGCCATGGGGCCAGGAAAAACGAGCACTTAGAAGTACTAGCCTTCCCGACCCCAGCGGCGGATCTGATCTATGGCTCCGCCGCCAACCAAGATTCGGCTGCGGAGGGTAGGGAGAGCGGCGCCTCGCAATACCGACAATCCTCTCCCCCCCGCAGCCCCACCACCACCGCATCAACGGTGCGGCCCCGTTTGAGTCGCGAAGGATAGGGCGAGTGGCGCATCGCCATACCAACACTCCTCTTCCTCCGCGACTCCACCTCGGCTGCAGCGGTAGAGGGTGCGCGAGTCCCCACTCGCTGCAGTCCACCAGCACACATCCGAAGTGGGCTCCCCAAGCCCACTCGGAGCGGCCACCTCAGGCCGGCCCTTCACCTCGGGCCAGCCACGTGGGTTCCTCTTTGTTCACCGTGGGAGACCAAGCCACGGCTACTAAGCCCCCCGCCACGACAAGGCGGGAACCCGTTCGGGGGGGGAACTCTTTTGAAGGACCTGAAGGTGGAATTATACTTCTACTTTAGGGCGCTGGTGTTTATGTCCCGGGACGTTGATGCGTCAGCCCAGGCCCGGTAGCACTCCTGCTTATAGCATGCTATTTTACCTCCTTAAATCTCCCACAGGAGAATAGTTGAAAATGTGTCCATCCGTAAGCAGTAAATAACAGTTCAAAAACTCTCCACAACAGCGCTCAAGTAGCTACGGGGTATGATAAATCGCCGTAAAATACGTTGAGAGTGATTTTGAAAATAAAAATTTTGAAAGCAGTAAAATAATTATTGTAAAAGGAATTATGGTGAAAGTCTGTGCAATAAAAAAATATTAAAAGTTCTTTAAAATTTAGACCGTAGCTACAGTGGCGCCACCGTTATTTAGCGCTATCCTACGGACACTTTTTATACAGAGTCTCTACTCCTTATCTCTACACTCCATAACTCATAGTTTTCATACGTATTATTTATCTATGAATGAATGAATGAACATCATTTCATTTTCAGACTCACTGGTAGACTACATAGTATATAGTGATAAGGGATGTTCCGATATAACCAAAACATCGATACCAACTCATATGAGTAGTACTCGAATCGTTTTGCGATACTACTCATTTGAGTACTCTAAAAGTATCGATACATACTCATATAGATACTTCCAGAAGTCCAAAAAAATCATGTGTGCGGTGCGGTTCATACGCTGCAGAAGTAAAAACTTCTGAAAACCAAACTCTAAAATTGCTTTGTGATGCTTACTTCAAGGTGATATGTAAATAGACGCTAGATAGCCTAAACACGAATAATTTAATATAATATTGTATCTCATTCTCTTGCAGGCTCAATCCTATATATTGTACATAATGTATATTATGTACATCTTTTTTATTATCGCTTTTTAGTTTTATCGGCTTACAAATCACAACGATTCTAAAAAAAAGTTTTCACTTCAAAAAATTGTATGATAGTTCATATAATCTAATGAAATGCTTGTCTTAGTTACCATTATTTTTTTTTTTGTAAACAATACAATTAAGAATGAACATAAGTTTAATTTTCTTCAGAAAAAAAAAACATATTTGGAAAGGTTTTCCAAGTACAGTAATTGTTTTTAATTTTTGGATTACTGACAAGCGTATTAGCGGCGCAAGGATGTGGTTTTTTTTCTATTAGCGCGTGATAGTACTGGGTCGTTCCAGGTTTTTTGTAAAACGAAACGAAACCGTTTTTTTGAAATGAGAAACAGTTTTGAGAAACAGTTTAAAAAAACAATTTTTTCAAAAAAATCCCGCCAGTGTACGTAACGACTTCACCATATGTTTGTTTACAAAATAATAAAGCGAACTTCCCTTCATACTTTTTCCAGGCTTAGGACTAGCTGATAAATGTTACAAGCATATTTAAAAGTTCATTTTATATACACGTTTTCATTATTAAGCTATTGCATAGCTTCTATCGCGGGCTTTTAGCGCGGGGACCGAATCCAGAAATTCCGTAACGAAAAAAAAACTCACGCTCCCTACTCCGACGGGCACGGAGGTGTGGAAGCCGTGCATCGTCTAACGTCGTTTCAGTTCGGCAGACTTCAGCACTCGGCAGAGTTCGGCACGGTGTTTGTGTGCGTGCGACTAGACGTATGCGTATACACTAGCTGCTAACTGAATGATAAAAATTCCTGAATAACCTACATGTATTGTAAGATATTAAAAATATTTTAAACAATATTAACTTCTCATTTGTTCAATAAGAGAAAAAAAAATTGTTTTCTTATCGGTCACCACTCTCAAAAAGGTAACTTGATTTAATATCAAAGACTTAACTGCATAAATAAAATAAATAAATAATTATAATTGCATAAGTTGATAAAAAATGCTATGCAATAGCTTTACCGCGGCAGTCACCGAGTGCCACACGTATTTTTTTACACTATCTACAATATTAGAACAAAAGATATGTACAAATTAAATCGGTTTTATCGGTATATTACAAAACTATTAAACAATTAATATATACACTATATCGCATAAAACACTTTTCACGCGTGAACATACAGTCACTTTTTTGCAAATTCGAAATTAGCTAACACAGTAAGCGTAGACAAGCGTTACTTAACCACAACTGAAACTGATTTAAATTTTAAAACAAAAAACGTACGTTTGACCAAGCTGACCGTAACATAAAAAAATAAGAGAAAGCCGAAAATACCATTTTTTCTTGGTCCGTTCGTTTTTGTTCAACCGTCTTTGAATTGTGTATAGATATAAATAAGATTTATTTTAGCTTTAATCGTAACGTCAAATCAAAAGTAGTTACTATAACTGTTTTCTGTTTATACAACAATAGTTCATAAAGCAATAGTAATAGAGTATTAACTTAGATCCAACCTATGAATCTACCATACGATCACGTAGTTTGTAAACGTTTTGCGATTGAGACAGTTCCGAGAATGAAATGTAGAACTGTATTCATTTCGTTCGTTTTTAAACCTAATGTTGGATCTTCGAGAAACTGTTCGTTCGTTTTTCTTTGACAAACTGTTTTTTAAAAGTGTTTCTGTTTCTGTGAATAAAACGCCCAGTACTAGCGCCACAGAGTACTTTCTAATATACTGAAACGCGTGATTGGATTCGTTACAAGTACTTTTCTTTCGATGACGAGTAGATATTAAAATAATTCATTCGATATAAAAATTACATGGTATCGAAAGAAAAGTATCGTTTACTTGTGTTTACTTGTATGGAATCACCTATTAGTGAATAGTGTTCTGTGACTCAGCCGTAGAATCACACCACCGCAACCTTGGTCTTTGATTGGTTGAACAAAACATAATCTTATGTCAAATAGTTTAAAAAAAACTCCGAAACGTAAACAAGGTTTTAATTTAAATTGATGCCACCATAGATTACTGCCTATATACGATGCCACTTTTTGAACAACTGTGAGAAAAGTATGATTAAATAATTTTTATAAATAAATTATATTCACCATGGATCAAGAATCATTTATTAGTAATGAAGTCTTCAATTGTAATGATATATCTGAACTGGAAGGTAGTATCTTACATTAAATTAAAAACTTGTAAAGAAAATATCCATATGATGTAATATTTTGTTTTTACAGACTTTCTCAACGGATTCGATGGCGATTTTATGAGTAAATTAGAAGAAGAACTTTCATTAGTCGATAATGATTCAAATTTAGATTGGTGTATTGACAATAAAAGTAATGTTGAAAAGCAATCTCAAGCATCGCCACAGTGTAATCCAGGCGGAAATCCATTAGTTTCCCAATATTCGCAAAATAGAAAAACACAGTCAAATGATGTGCCACAACCGAAGAGCAGTCCGATACTTGGCGTGTATAGCAGGGATGAAGAATATAATTTGCAACTATCTAACGACGGCGCACCTTTGCCGGATGTTACTCAGCACGGGCAGACTCGGGTTTCACCACAATCTCCCATGGTTATTCAACAGGTGGTTCAAAGTCCAGTTTATGTCAATATTACTAAAGCAAACTTGCAGCAAATTCCAGATGGTAGAGCTTCTCTTGTGCAAATTGATGGAGGCACACAACTTACTCAGGCACATAAACATCAATCAACTCAGCCACTCTTGATACCAAATAATGCAAAAAATGTAACTCCATTTATTCTTAAAAGTGCTGATCCAAATTTCTCACCAGTTATTTTGAGATCAAGTGTAATCAATCCAGAAGCCCAGACTTTGATGTATATGAATGAACCAATACCAGGTGAGCTTCTTATTGTAAAAATATTATTGAAAAATCAAAATAGTATAGAAAAACCATTAATTTTGCTATATAATATAATCAGTGATCAGATAATGGGATGCATATTTACCTAAAGTTCATTATGGCTAGGAAATTATAGAAGCTGCGTCTTAAAACATATTTATTAAAATATAAATCCTGGGATTCAAGAAAATACAGGAATGCAGAAATAGTCTGTATCATGGTGAAGAAACGTCATCTATAGCATGTGGTATTTATTTAAAAAAACAGAGGGATTACATAATTATTAATGTGTATTTACTTGAATTTTATTTTAAGCTCCCCATCAATTTATGAATATGATGAGTGTAAGAGAATTAGTATGTAGTGGGTGTTAATTAAAAAAATAAGAGGAAGTTATTTTTTTTTCTATATATATAAAGTTAAAATAAGTAAATATACCTATACTTGATTTGATTCTATAATAAAAACAGTAAATTTGTCGAATCCGAAATCCTGGGATTTTTTCAATACAAAAGTGCATTCCATAATAGCCAACAACTTCGCTTTAAGTAAATATGCATCCGATTATCCGATCATTAAATATAATAATATATAATATTTTATATAAAAAGACGATATTCTCTCACATACTTAAATAGAAAATATGTGCTTCTTTTCGAAGCTAAATCCTACCTTTGCCATAATATTTAAATAATTTTAATACACAACCTATTCAAATAAAGTTTGAATATATATACCAAAATAGACCCATTTGAACTTTTTAAAGAATTATTATCAGTAGTATACCAACCCGTTATTGAACTCTCATTGTAAATCAAAAACCAATACTTCAATTTTATTTTTCAGTACTCATTTACTCTAATGCTAAATTATATAACATCACATTTGTGAAATTAGCTCTAGTGCTGTGTATTATGTGTCACACATGGACATCCGTATGTTACTATCCGTTCAGGCCCACTGAAAACCAGTGCTGTTGCTCCGGCGATAGCATAAGCTGAGAGGTCCCTTTGTATGAAGCGCCACAACATACTCATACAATATGAGAAATGAATTTTATGTCTCTACTTTTTTTTTTAAATTATAATCTATAAGTATACATACTTAAATTACTACACACTTAAATACTTTAAATTGTTTTATCCGTCAAATTGTTGTTTTGTTTCATTTTTTTTTTGTTATAATGTTTATAATTGATGGGTCCACAAATGTTGAAATTTAAGTGCCTACTGATGTTTGTGGCGTGCTGCAATAAATCTTTCTTTCTTTCATTCTATTATTAGGCTGGATTCCCAGTGTTTGTATGTCTTAAAATAATTGTTCTGGGTCTGGGTTTTTCTCCATGTATAATTTATGTTTGTAAAAGACATCTGCACACCAGAAGAATTGCTGCTGTGAGATAACATTTTTAAAATCCACAGACCGGTTATTGGCAGAATTATTGTGACACAATATCTAAGGCCATATTGAAAAAAGAATGAAAATCTAGTAAATGTAAACCTAGTAACTTATTCAAGCACTGCAAATTGTTTTAAAATAAATGCAGTCTAGTTAATATACATCACCATTCATACACACTTCAGGCACTTAAAAGTTTTGTAGACAATTTATTGTTAAAGAAATAACTATATTTTATATTAGTATTTTTTATTGGCATATAAAAAAGTGTATCCTCATTTTAAAATGGTTGTGAAACAAAGTTTATTACTTATTATTATGCACAATTTTTAAATTGTAAATAATAGGTTTTTGCTCATGAAGTTGCTGTTCTGTAGTACTGGCTAATTCAAATCAAAATAATTTTTGTTTGTCTGAGAATTCAAATTTCAAATTAGTTCTATTAAAAAAAAGTTAGTAGTTTGTTTATTGATTAGCGTTATGTTTTCATCGCATTTGAGTTTTTCGTCAACATGGATATATTAAAAATTTGAGTAATTATGGATATGTGTAACGTCATGGCAACAATGCGGCACAAGCAAAACACCAACAACATTTATGAAGCAAATACTACAAACAAAGGCATCACCTGTTATTGCTTTGCCCGCTTTCGCTTTGGAAATTTCGACCTGAAAATGAACCACATAGTCGTTCGAAAACAGGTTGACAATGCAAATTAAAGGTGATTATAGAACCTGATGATATTGGACATTAGCATCAATACAATGTTGGTCCATTTGCGTCAAATTGGCAAGGTAAAAAAGCTTGACAAGTGGATGCTCCACAAGCTCAATGATCGCCAGTGCGAAGTCGAGACGTGCCTTGCACTGCTCATCAGTCACACAAACTAAGGAATTTTGGACCGCATTGTTACCTGCGACGAAAAATGGTTTCTATTTGACAATCGCAAGCGCTCAGCAAGTTGGTTGGATCCTGGTGCAGTACCTAAAGAATGCCCTAAACGAAAACTTACCAAGTGGACCAAAGTGGAAAATGAAGAATTAAAGGCTATTGTGGCAGCGGATTCATCACAAAGCACTTTAGAGATTGCAGGCTTCGGGGTAAGTGACAAAACTTTATTAATCCACTTGAAGCAAATCAGGAAAGTAAAAAAAATTGAACTATGGGTACCTCATGAATTGAGTGAATCAAACTTGCAAACACGTATCGACTGCTGTGTTACTTTGCTCAACCGACACAAAAATGAAGAGATTTTAAATCATTCGATTTTATATCATTACTTGTAATGAAAAGTGGATACTGTACGATAATCGGAAGTGCTGGTCACAATGGCTGAACCCTGGATACCCAGCCAAATCCTGCTCTAAATGAAAATTGACTCAGAAAAAGTTACTTGTGAGTGTTTGATGGACTAGCGCCGGTGCGGTTCACTAGAGCTTTCTAAAATGTGGCCAAACGATTACGGCAGATATCTATTGTCAGTAACTACAAACCATGAAGAAAGAATGAGTTGCTAAACAACCGAGATTTGTCAATCACTGGCTACTGGCCAGGCCACTGCTGCTTCACGACAACACAAGACCACACACTGTACAACAAACAACCACTAAGTTAGATGAGCTAAAATTGGAATTTCTGCAACATCTACCATCTCCCCGGACCTTGCCCCAACAGATTACCATTTTTTCCGGAATTTGGATAACTTCTTATAAGGAAAAAAATTCAACTCCGATGCGGCAGTCCAAACCGCCTTCAAAGAGGTTATTGATTCTCGCCCCCATGGTTTTTTTAGTAAAGGGATCAATGAACTAGCCATGAGATGGCAAAAGTGCATAGATAACAACGGCGCATACTGCATTTGATTAATTAAATATATTTTACAAAAAAAAATTGACATTATATTCCTCCCGTACAAAATGTCAATTTCATAAGTAAGGACCTATTATCTAATATCTATAATATACAGCATAACTAAAAGTTTAATTTTGAGTAATTTTATTGCAGCTACTACTACTCAAGGTATATTGACAAATTCAAATTCAAGTACTGAAAATAGGCCAATACATACATTTTTCACAAGCAATAATGGCCCAACACTTTTAACTGGTATTCCTGTTGTCCTTGATGGCGATAAGTTTGCCTTGAACCAAGCACCAAATTTAGCAGTGCCCAAAGTCAAAGAGGTGAAAAGAAGTGCTCATAATGCAATTGAGAGACGTTACAGGACTAGTATTAATGATAGGATAATTGAGCTGAAGAACATGCTGGTAGGGGAAGAAGCCAAGGTAATCATTTGCTTATTTCAGCTTAGATAAAGAAAGAGAATATTAAATTTAATGTTTAAAGTTTTTAAAGGCTTTTAAAGGTTTTTAAAGGGTTTTTAAAAATCCACGACAAGTGGTTGCAACAGGTGACAAGGAGGCCTGGTTCTTTTCTTGCCCAAATGCTAAGTATACCCATTAATCAAGTAAACTAGAAAAATTCTAAATGGAATAATGTAACAACTTTTGTACATGAGCAAGCATATATTATTCATCTCCGTTATTCTTCTTCTCTGGGTCTCTCTTGTTGTAGAGAGGTTTAGTCTTGGAAGGGGATTGACAACTGCAGTACCAACTCACAGTACCAGTACCAGTACCAGTACCAGTGCAGTACCAGTCACGCATCTCTGACACTACCAGCCGTCGTCATTATGCGTATTTTATGTATGGTGTAAACAAGCTGGTTATACCACAATCTTTCGGAAGCTATAACAATTTCCTGCTATTAGCTATAGTCGCCCCTGATGACACCCACTGGACAAAATCGAGTGACCCTTCCCCTGCTCATCTCTCATCCAACCTAGGTTTTTAAGCATATTATTAAATTACACATTAAAGAATGATTTTCAGGGTTATACTTTAAGAGTGAAATTAGTCACTTTAATAGGGAAGTACCTGGATGAATATTTTTAGGAAATCGTATTTTTTGTAAATTATATTTAGATACAAATTACATACTGATGAAATATGAATAAAATTTTTCCATCTTCTCGATCATTATTTTTTGTGTTTTAAAAAAATATACTCAAAAAAGGGCTCCAAATAATATATTTTCTCACAAAAGAAGGAACTTGTAAAAAAGGAAAAAAGGGTCAGACTCGAGTCATTTGGACCCGAACCGGCGTTCTATGATTTCAGTACCAACCAATATCCCAACTGTGCTGTTATAACCTTAAACGGACCGGCAAAATTTACTTTCGTATTCTAATGATATTTTAGCAATTTTTTATTGCCCTAAACATGGATAAAACGACATTTTCTAAAAATAAGTCCTAGCTAGATCGATTTATTACTCCTGAAACCCCCGTAATCTAAATTTCGTGAAAATCGTTGGAGCTGTTTCCGAGATTCGATTTATATATATATATATATATATATATATATATATATAAGAATTGCTCGTTTAAAGGTATTGGTTTAAGGGAGAATAGTACCACCGCCTTTGAATTCCCCCTGAACTAAGCAATGCCTTAAAATTGTTCTGGTGCTTCTCTGTGCCACGGCACGCTCGCTTCGCATGCCCGGTTCAAGCATTGTAATCACCAGTAACTCATAAGTTCATCCTCTATTCGTTCTTAGTAATATGCCTTTAGGGATTATCTATTAATTTTATAGTTTGCATATAGGTACAGTCAGGGTCAAGAGGAAGGTAGCAGTCAAGGTGATCAAATATTTCAAAACATCCAAAGTGATCATTAATATTCAAGTATTCAACCTTCTAAAGCAAGCAAATTCTTGTGATCACCAATTTCAAAATTTCAGACAAACTATCCTTATTATAGTAACAAACAAAACATTACAATGCACAATGACAATTGACTCTCAATTGTCGTTGTGCAGAATTAGAGCCGGTAGAAACTCAAACTTACTTGGGACTTATAACAGATAGTCGACTTAATGGGAAACATCATATTGAAGATATGTGTAATAGACTTCGAAGCATATTAGCAAAATTCTCCATAATTAAGTATAAAGTCCCTTATAGAATTCTGTTACAATTATATAAATCACTGGCTGAATCTATAAATTTCATATGGCTTGTCTAGTTACGTGCGAACTTACAAATCACATTTAGATAACATTTTTATTCATTGCAACTACGCATCTTAAAAACTATAGTCCCAGACCAAATTAAAAACTTACACAGGGATTCTGATTACCATAACCTATTCGATTACTGCAAAATTATACCGGTGCATAAAAAAGTAGAATATACTCTCTAAAATGAAGAATTTTTTAATGAAGATTTAAAAAAATATGGCATTTCTAACTATTCTAAAACTCGCAGTGCGGCCAAACCAAAATTAGATAAACCTAATTATAATAATTTATACGGAAAACATACTTTAGAATACATGGTTCCGAATTTAATTAATCATTTACCAATATCTTTTCAAAATGAAATTAATCATAAAAATATTAAAAACAAATTAAAAAAAACTATTATACGAATTGTATATATCAGACTTCAGACTTAAAAAATAATAAAATTAAATACTATAATCCCCACTAAGTATATTTCCTATATTTACCTATATGATATACAACCTAAGAATAATCATTATATTCGTTTACTATTAAATATTAAGTAACTAACTAATTGATACCCCCTGTATACGCAACGCAGGAACGACCGGTTTTTGACGCAGTGAAGTGGGCGGTGGCAAGACTCACACCTTTCTTGTTCACTATTAGGTTACTACGTATGTATTGCCAATTCACCGCTTGTTGACCGTGCCAATTGCTGTTTAGTGTTTAATAGTGTTGCGTTAAACATATTTTTGTAGATTAAGGTGTAGCTCATATTTAAAAAAAAATTATGTCGGCGGTCTGTGGTACACGGTAAAGTTTTTCGTTAAGCTTATGTTGTACCATATTATATCCTTTTTATCATGTATAATATGTTAAATAAATAAATAAATAAATGAATAAATTAATGGTATCGAAGGAATTCTTATGCAATAGGGTGCAATTTATTTGCTCTAAGTTTTATCATAAAAATATATATGTTATCATATAAATATATGTTTGACGGCTCTGTGGCGCAGTGGCTTAGCTGAGTTATAGCGCTTTTAAGGGCCGCGGGTTCGAATCCCGCACGGAACAAGTATTTGTATGGCCTACAAGTAATTGTTCCAGGTCTGGATGTTTGTCCTTGTGAAATTTGTGTTTGTAAGCAGCCCCCACGATACAGGAGAAAATCCTAGTGTGGAGGTAATGTTTTTAAAAAAAATAGAAAAAAAAATGTGTATAAAGATATGTATATGTATTCATATTAAATTATTAATTTTCCTGTGTACTAGTATAAAAATAATAATCATATTATATTCCATTTTATTCTAAAAACTGAGAGTTATTTTTACGATAATTAATTTGGTTTTTTCGAACAATTATCGATACCCATATAAAAAGACGGTAAAATGAGTGAAATAAGTTCATTTGTTTTCACTGAGTATCAAAGAAATTAAATAATTTTTAATCCTTTCAGCAAAGCCAATCTTAGCCATCTTTGTCCTTATGTGCCTTTCCAAGTCGTATTTATTTTCATAGATAAGTAAATTCCCACTCATTTCAATCAATGAATAAAACATAATCAAAACCATTATTGTTTATAAAATTATTTAATTTCAGCTGAATAAATCTGCAATACTACGGAAAACAATTGAGTACATAAAATATCTGCAGAATCAAAACACCAGACTGAAACAGGAGAACACTGCTTTAAAATTAGCTTGCCAAAAGTCGGGTGTAAAGGAACCAGTTTTCGACGGAGCAATCACACCCCCACATAGTGACATTTCTTCTCCGTACCAGTCACCGCACCCTCTCGATAGTGATTCGCCATCTTCTCCAGATTTTAAGGTTCATTCTATTCTATATCTTCTGAATTTTTGATGTTTTACTTTTTCATCAGTAAAGTTTAAGACAATTAGTAATTAGTAAGAAAATATTTGTAATAAACTTTATAATTATTTTTATTAAGTTTAAATAATTCATTCATCAATCATTTTCTTGGCTTAAGTTTCCTTAATTCCCCTTATTATTTAAATTTTCCAGGTCGAAGAAAAATATTCAAAAGTGGTTATAGGAATGGGTGATCACTCTCGCCTAGCACTTTGTGCATTTATGGTTGGATTAATTGCTTTCAACCCATTTAGCGCTTTCTTTGGAGCTTTCATGTTTGAATCCACATCTACTGACTATTCAACAAGAATTGATCAAAGAAGAATATTATCTGATGAAAATTTCAGTAAGTTCTCATTTTAATGTTTTTATTTTCATATTAGTAACAATGTGATCTCTTTGTTTGCATAAAGATCTCTATAAATTGTGTTTTTAAAAAAAAAACACATTTCTTCTTAAATATCAGTTTTTATTTAGATAATAAAAGTTGTTGACAAATATGTTTACCTTGGACAATGCTCCGACTAGGTAAACTTAGACCGAGAGGTCGATTGACGGAAGCAACTCGGCTGCGCAGCGTTCAGGAGACTGCAATACATTTTCTCACATAAACTTTAAAGCTAGAAAGCAATAGTATTATACAACATGTGTGTTGCCAGTGGTGGCAAATTGTTCTGAGCTGAATTTCTTCACTAGCTGTATGAGAAAAATCATGCGCTGAGTGTTTTGCATAATGTACTTCTTTATAAGGACATTACACAGTAGAACTAGAATAAATCCGCAGTAGAGCCAGAGTGACTATGTCGGTCACTCTGGTTATATCACCCAACAAATAAGTAAGATTAAGTGACAATAGGCCGCTCACTTAAGCTCGGAGAACAGACAATCGATGTGGAAGAAAGGTATTCAGTTGGCAGCCTCATACTAGTAAGCGAAGTGTAGGCCGGCCCACCATTAGACAGAGTGACAAACTGGTAAGATAAGACACACAGAAAATTGATGAATGCAGTTGGCTTAGGACCATGCTTTGTGGCCTTTCTTGGGGGAGGCCTGAGTTCAGCAGTGAACTTGTGATGGGCTGTAATGATGATGATGATAAAACAATACATTGTACAGTTTTTGAGAAATATCGCCATATTTTTATGTTGTCTTTTTAATATTTATTACACATGAATTTCCTAATGACCCTAGGTTCTGTTGGAGCATCATGGGGATTGAGGATTTTCAACACATCTCTTATTTACTTAGTCAACTTTATTATACTTGGATTATGTCTTATAAAGTTACTGGTTTATGGAGATTCTGTTCCCAAATCACAATCAAAAGAAGCTGGTCTTTTTTATACACACAAACGGCAGGCTGAAAATTATTTAAAAAAGGTAAGTTTACGTAGAAATCAATATTTTAAAATTTATAGACAGTTTTAATGTATTGAATTATTTACAACTAATACTTATTAAAGTGATAAATTAGCTAACAGTTTACCTGATGGAAAGTGGGACACATAAAACTTAATTTCTTAGCATGCTATGTGTTATTGGTATGCTAATTATAAATCTATAATTTCAGGTACTTAAAGCATAAGAGTTTTATTAATATTGCTTTTACGTAACATGAGATTGTGCTTAACTCGCCCCCGTTATAAGGGAAGCAGTAGCGAAAATAAGCTGGTATGAATTTTAGCCAGTGCCTTAACAGTCGCATTTCGTAGTATTTATCATCATCACCAGTGGCGTGCTCAGAGTCGGATAACAGCGCCAGTCAATTTATTTTTGTCGTGACTACGTAAGACAATCCACCCTCATACCCATTTCGGCCCTTAGATTTCGTATTAGGTAACTATACTAAAAGCCAGGAAAATATCAAAAGCAAATAATAATTTCAGATTAAGTATACTAAAATTTGAATTAAACAGCTATGAGTTGTGGAAAAGATAAAATTACATGCAATTATTACACTAAAGATATATTTATTTATTTATTCTTCATTGCATTCCTTAAAACAAAAGAATAAATACAAAGGGCGGACATAATGCCTTGAGGTATTCTCTACCAGTCAATCCATGGAGTGATGGAAATTTGACGTTGATGTAGCAATATAGAATTTAAAAAAAAACAAATAAAAATGATAATTAACTATGTAAACTATACAAATATAATATATACATACTTATTAAATATACACAAATATATAAATATACATATTTATATACATATATAATTAGTATATACAAATAACTATGAATAAATATATCTGTTTGGCAATATATATGACATAGATACTTCTTGGAAGCTTCTGCTGTCATCGGGCAAAGAGTTCCAAACACGTGTAGTCTGAACTGTAAAGGAGTTACCATCAAACTCGGTGAAGTAAACAGGAATAAAGATTTTGTTGTTGGAAGAAGAACATAGAATCCATAATATGTAAAACTGTGGTAATACGTTGTTGTAAATGTAATGCAAAGTAACATTATGTGAATATATCGTCATTTGTTAAAGTGCTTATTGGTTTTTATAATAAGCTCATCTTTGACTTTTAGGACCGGTATTACAAACATTCTTTTTTGTTATTTCTTAATATACTACTAGTATCAATGTTCGGAATTTGGTCACGTCTTTAAGCACCAAAGTCCTTGATCTTGCATAGTGGTGTACATGCAGTATTTTAATATTTTAACATTTGATTCAAACATGTTCGTTTACAAATAGATGTTGTGAGTGTGTATAGTAGGTACTCAAATTATTTATTACTAACGACCCGCCGCATCTTAAATCAGTTATCTGGATTTGAGATGATCAAAGCCCATTTATTTTATAAATTTATAGTTTTCTTTTTTAATTCAAGTTTCCAGATAAAATATAGCCTAGATTATTTCCGGAAATGCTTTCTATCTCGTAAAGTTTCATCACAATTCAGCCATTCTACAGATTAGCCCGGTCGTACAGACAGACGGACAAAAATTTTAAAAATGGATAAATAACCATTTTCAATAGTCTTCATACCATATACCATGTACCATACCAAATGAGAGCTTGATGAGCTTAATAGAAGTCAGTCATTTCAATATTACCGACAGAAACTCAGATTACAGGTTCAAATTTCTAAAATAATTATAACATAAAATCTGTTAAATTAGGTGTAAAATCCTAACTAGCTTGCCAGGCAGACGTTGTTCTGCCCTTTTCGACGACAATTTGTCATGTCCTCTTAAAAATCCTTAAATTCGCAAAAATAAATGTGGGCAAAAAAACTATCCTATCTCAAGTTGGATCAAACTGCACGCGGTGTGCAAATTTTATTAACATCTGTTAATTAGTTTAGGAGTCCATTGCGGACAAACAACGTGACACGTAATGTATATATATTAAGGTTAGGATGCGCAAATAAATAATAACAGCATAAGGCTGTAACAGAAACAACCGTAAAACAAGCTGTGAAACAATCCAAGTTGATGATGAAAATAGAACAAAAATATTTCATGGTAATTAAAGCATAAAGCATTATTTTAATTTTAGGGCGATCTAACAAATGCAAGATTAGAATTCCACCGTTCGTTGGCCGTGTGTGGAAAGAGTGTGCAAGCTGGAGGTGCAGGTCACGCAAAGTACTCTGCTCTTGCTGCTACAGTTCTAAGACAGATTTTGCAACGGTTGCCTTTCGGTGGTTACTTAGCCCGTCGTGCGGGTGATTTATGGAAAGACAGGTAAAAACATCTATTAATTTTATATATTCGGTGTACATTTCATCATCATCATCATCATTACAGCCCTTCACAAGTCCACTGCTGAACATAGGCCTCCCCCAAGTAATGCCACAAAGCACGGTCCTGAGCCACCTGCATCCATCGACTTCCTGCATGTCTTACCAGGTCGTCACTCCATCTAGTGGGGGGTCGCCCTACACTACGCCTACCGGTACGAGGCTGCCACTCGAGAACCTTTCTTCCCTCTATCGGTTATCGGTTTTTCGAGCTATATGGCCGGCCCATTGCCACTTCAGCTTACTAATCCGTTGGGCTATGTCGGTCACTCTGGTTTTACTGCGGATATCCTAATTTATGAGTTTATCACGCAGAGAAACTCCGAGCATAGCCCTCTCCATAGCTCGCTGAGCGACCTTGAGCGTCCTCATACGGCCAGCAGTGAAGGACCATGTCTCTGATCCGTAAGTCATCACTGGCAACACGCACTGGTTGTACACTTTAGTTTTCAGAGATTGAGGTATACCTGACGAGAAGATGTGTCGTAATTTCCCGAACGCTGCCCAGCCGAGTTGAATCCGTCGAAGTCGAACCTCTCGGTCGAAGTTGGACTTACCTAGTCGGACTATTTGTCCCAGGTAAACGTACTCGTCAACAAATTCGAGCATAGTGCTCCCCACAACTACCGGCATAGGTGTGACATGGACATCGAACATAATCTTTGTTTTGTCCATGTTCATCTTAAGACCTATCCGTTGGGAGACACCATTGAGGTCATTGAGCATAGTGCCAAGGTCCTCCAGCGATTCTGCCATAAGGATTATATCGTCGGCAAATCGAAGGTGAGTGATGTACTCGCCATTGATGTTAATACCGTATCCTTTCCAGTCCAGTAGCTTGAAAACGTCTTCCAACGCAGCGGTGAAGAGTTTCGGGGGATATAACGTCACCCTGTCTTACACCTCTCTGCAGTTGGATAGGTTTCGAACTCTGGTTCTGTACTCGGATAGCCATCGTAGCCCTACTGTACAAACACTTCAGCACCTCGATATACCGACAGTCAACTTGGCATCGCTGAAGGGACTGTAGCACCGCCCAAATTTCGACGGAATCAAAGGCTTTCTCATAGTCCACATACGCCAGGCAATATGGCAGATTGTACTCTTCGGTTTTCTGTACAATCTGCCGCAGGGTATGTATGTGGTCTATGGTACTGACACGCCTTTTCGGATACCGTCTAGTTCGGGAGGCTGGAAGTCGTCGAGTCTGCGTGCGAGACGATTCGTAATGACTCGAAAACAGCACGTAGACGCGGCTCAGAAGGGAAATCGGTCTGTAGTTCTTCAAGAGAGCGTTGTCGCCTTTCTTAAAGAACAAGACCACCGCACTTCTGCTCCACGCCTCCGGAGTAGCTTCTGAATTACTTCAAGTACCGGTGTTCCACCCGCTTTCAGAAGCTCCGCTGTAATTCCATCCTCGCCTGGGGCCCTGCCGTTTTTAAGGTGCTGGAGAGCCATTCTAATCTCGCTCAGACTGACGTCCGGGATATCATCGGAATAGTGTCGGGTAAGACTTGCTCTTGTATCGTTACTCACACTTGCGTGTGGCTCCAACGATGATGTGTACAGCTGCCCATAGAACCTCTCAATCTCACTCAAAATCTCAGGTGTCCCGGAAACGATGCTGCCACACTCAGTCTTCAACTTTGACAGTTGGCTCTTTCTAGCAGACAGATCTCTGGCAAAGACTTTGGAGCCCTGGTTCCGCTCGATCGCTTCTTTAATACGAGCAGTATTAAAGTTGCGTAAGTCTTGCCGCATGCATTTGGAGATCTGTCTGTTCAGTTGCCTGTATGCTGTCAAATCTGTTGACGATTGCAGCCTCATCTCCCGTCTAACAGCCATGAGATTAAGAGTGTGATCGGAGAGTTTTTGTGTTCTTCTGCGGCGGGTTTTGCAGAACTTAGCTCCGACCGCATGGACAGTTTCCACGAGCTTGTCATTCATATCATCCACTGCATTGCAATCTTCTAGGCACTGAAAGCGGTTACCTAACTCGAGCTGAAAAGTCTCGGGATTCTGGATTAGAGCACGAGGGGGACGGAGCGTTGACTTCATTAGACGAGACCTCTCCAACTTAACGTTTAGGTTCAGTGTGCCTCTAACCATTCGGTGATCGCTGCCGGTTTTCACCCTTGCGATCACTGAGACATCACTGAACAGTTGGCGTCTGGTCGTCATAATGAAGTCAATCTCATTTTTTGTCGAACCGTCGGGGCTCGACCAGGTCCACTTCCTGTGGGGCCGCTTCTGGAAGAAAGTGTTCATCATAAAGAGTCCCTCTTTCAGTTCGTCATAAAGAGTCCCTCTTTCTCCATAAAGTCAGCCAGCTGCTGGCCCCTACGGTTCCGTTGCCCTACTCCAAATTTCCCTAACTTTCAGCTCACCGCCTTCTCTTGTGCCTAGTTTTGCGTTGAAGTCTCCCATCAACACCGTGTAGTGGGTTTTGGAGGAATGCATGGCTCTAGAAATATCCTCATACATTTCCTCCACCCCCTCATCGGGATGTGCCGAGGTTGGTGCGAAGACCTGTATGACCTTCAGCGAATACCGTTTGGTGATTCTGAGTATCAGGTACGCGACCCTCGTCGACACACTCCCAATCTTTACAACGTTGTTGACGAGAGACTTGTGGACGATAAATCCGACACCTCCTTGGGACAGATGGTCGCCCTCCCGGTGATAGAACAAGTTGCCGGACTCGAGGATTACCGTGTCCTCCCCCCTCTCTTCAGACCTCAGATAATCCAATAATATGCCAGCGCAACTTGTCTACCTCTTCTTCCAGCTCCAGTATCTTCTCGTCAGTCCTCAGGGTGCGTGCGTTATACGTTGCCAGGTCGAGTCGTCGTAGGTGGCAACCGAACCTCCACCGGAGATTCTTAGCACCCCCTGCCCCGCCGTTACCATGGTCGCCACCGTAGCCAGGAATAGCGGGGCCGCCGGGGACTGGGGGCCGTTTATTTGTGTCGTTGCTCATGCGGGGGATATTTACCATATAGTTGCCACGCTTGGCGAGCGGGTTGGCAACCGCAGTTTTTTCTTATGTTATTGTTGTTATTGGGAAGATGCTGCTGCCCATCTCCTGCCTGTCTCCCTCTGTCGCCTCTTACGACACCCACGGGAAGATATGGGGTAGTGGATATTCTCAACCGCCACTACACGGCTTAGTCTACGGTGTACATTTATAAATAGTAAATACTTCATGTTCTAGTTCTTCGTGTTATTGTATTCTTCCCGTTTGGTGCATTTGTGGAACAAGTGTACCGTTCTTTTTACTTTACCGGGGTTTGATCATTATATTCTAATGTCAACAAAATTGTTAGTACTACACTCGTAACTAAGAAGTACCATTATCTGCATCTGATTTTTAAGTAAAATTGTATTTATTACCAGTACATTTACTGTTACGAAAACTATCCTATCACAAGTCCACCATCACAGTCTCAATAGATTGCCACAAAGCACCGATTTGCACTACTTGCATTTATTTATTCTTATACGTTTTATTAATTCTTTACTTCTTCCATCCTTTAGTGGGGGGTTTCCTAACACTAAGCTTGCAAATACGAAGCTGCAGTGGCATGACAATGGAATGCTGCCGCCCTGGGCCGCTAGAGCTAAATATGCGGAGCCTCAACACCCACTCTCCCTCCTCTATTTTGATCAATTATTCCAATTAATTCTTTATAATTAATTTGAATACTTGATTTCATAAATTTATAAATATATTTTATTTCAAAATCTATTGTTTGTTGAATATATGTAACTATTTTTGTATTGGTAACTTACCATACCATTTTAATTTTGATGTTGCATTTCAAAATCTTTACTTTTCCCTTTTTATTAAAACAAGCCGTAACTTATCCATGTAGTCCTGCAAGGAGAGCCACACGACACTGGGCTGCAGAAGTATCAAATGTTTCGAATCGCTTGGCGCAATTGGAAATATTGTCGGGCCACAGCGGTCGCAGCGGACGCGTGTTGTTGGCGCTACAGGCCATCAACTTGGCAGAGGTGACTGGCAATAGGCAACTTCTGGCTGACGCCTATGTTACCGCCGCTTTGGTGTTTAAGGATTATATACCAAAAATTGGAAACTGGTTGTGCGGGTGAGTGTTTATATTTACAGTCAAATGCAACCGAAAAATACTCCGTTTTTTAAGTCTGATAACCCGAAGAGATACAATGAATAAAATAAAATTACATGTGTTATTACTTTTAAAAAACCTGCGCGCCTGCGACCTGTCGCGGGTTCGCATGGATGTTTTCTAAATATCGACAACAGTGCCACTTACCGGATTCAGTTGTGAATCTAAACCATTCTCAAATCAACTTAATCACACATACAAAATTTCATCAAAATCTATCCAACCGTTTAGGAGTTCAGTCACATAGACACGAACAGAAGAATTATATGTATAATTCAAATCATATCCACCCCACTTTACGAACGGCAATAAAACAATAAATTTAGTAGACATCTTTGACCTTGTCACTTCGCATGGTCACAGGCTAGGCTGGACATGATTCGAATTTCAATAGATTTTAATTTATTTATTTAATTCAAAATTTTTGTTTTTATTTTCCTAATTCTTCTTCTACTCCATTCACATGTTTTACATCCTATTTTTTCCTAACGGAAAAAAAGGTCAACCAGATATATATATATATATATATATATATATATATATATATATATATATAATCACCCTTCACAAGTCCACTGCTGAACATAGGCCTCCCCCAAGTAATGCCACAAAGCACGGTCCTGAGCCACCTGCATCCATCGACTTCCTGCATGTCTTACCAGGTCGTCACTCCATCTAGTGGGGGGTCGCCCTACACTACGCCTACCGGTACGAGGCTGCCACTCGAGAACCTTTCTTCCCCATCGGTTATCGGTTCTTCGAGCTATATGGCCGGCCCATCTGCTCCCTGTACACTTTAGTTTTCAGATTGAGGTATACCTGACGAGAAGATGTGTCGTAATTTCCCGAACGCTGCCCAGCCGAGTTGAATCCGTCGATTGACCTCTCGGTCGAAGTTGGACTTACCTAGTCGGACTATTTGTCCCAGGTAAACGTACTCGTCAACAACTTCGAGCATAGTGCTCCCAACAACTACCGGCATAGTTGTGACATGGACATTAAACATGATCTTTGTTTTGTCCATGTTCATCTTAAGACCTATCCGTTGGGAGACACCATTGAGGTCATTGAGCATAGTGCTAAGGTCCTCCAGCGATTCTGCCATAAGGACTATATCGTCGGCAAATCGAAGGTGAGTGATGTACTCGCCATTGATGTTAATACCGTATCCTTTCCTGTCCAGTAGCTTGAAAACGTCTTCCAACGCAGCGGTGAAGAGTTTCGGGGATATAATATCACCCTGTCTTACACCTCTCTGCAGTTGGATAGGTTTCGTACTCTGGTTCTGTACTCGGATAGCCATCGTAGCCCTACTGTACAAACACTTCAGCACTTCAATATACCGACAGTCAACTTGGCACCGCTGAAGAGACTGTAGCACCGCCCAAATTTCGACGGAATCAAAGGCTTTCTCATTTTCATCATAGTCCACATACGCCAGGCAAAGTGGCAGATTGTACTCTTCGAACTTCTGTACAATTTGCCGAAGGGTATGTATGTGGTCTATGGTACTGAAGCCTTTTCGGAAACCGGCTTGTTCGGGAGGCTGGAAGTCGTCGAGTCTGCGTGCGAGACGATTCGTAATGACTCTCGAAAACAACACGTAGACGCGGCTCAGAAGGGAAATCGGTCTGTAGTTCTTCAAGAGAGCGTTGTCGCCTTTCTTAAAGAACAAGACCACCGCACTTCTGCTCCACGCCTCCGGAGTAGTGCCACCATGGAGGACGGAATTGAAGAGCTTCTGAAGGACTTCAAGTACCGGTGTTCCACCCGCTTTCAGAAGCTCCGCTGTAATTCCATCCTCGCCCGGGGCCTTGCCGTTTTTAAGGTGGTGGAGAGCCATTCTAATCTCGCTCAGACTGACGTCCGGGATATCATCGGAATATATATATATATATAATATATATAAAGATGGAAATAATTATGTTCAAAAATCGACGCTATAATTAAAATACCGCATAGATATTATTTAAGCAAATGATTATCTCAAATTTAGCAACGACATAAGGATGCATTTAGTATTTGCTAACACTAAATTTATCAAAGTAATAATATTTTGTTCATTTTATTGTTTATTTTGTGTTAACATGACATATTTTGTTTTCTATAAGTATTATAAGTAAAATAATAAATTGATTAAATTTATAATTATACCGTAAAAGTAGTAACTTATCTGGAAATGTCTCATATGCAAACCCGTAACCAATAAACACTCTTAATAACTTAACATATATGCTGTAACCATTGACTTATATATTACTAGCGTAAGGACCGGGTCGACCGAACAACTAAAACGGACCAGTGCGTTGCCGAAAGGGCCAACGCACTGGTCCGACGCGAATCGCTCGACAGTAGTGTGCGCGCAGGACAGATTAGATTTTTTGACAGATTGCCTGTCATAAATATGTCTAGTTGCGTGGTAAAGGAATGCAAAATTACGATACAAAGATTTAAAAGAAACATGGGATATCGTAACCTTATATTAATTTTGTTACAATAAAATTATTATATTGCAAACAATCTTTTTATATGTGGCACGAAATTTCCACACAAAAATATATCAAATTGATCATGTGTTATTTAGCAAGCACAGGCTGTCCAACGTTCAAGACGTTAGGGTATACAGAGGTGCCAACTTTGACTCTGACCATTTTTTGGTTGTTGCTTCCTTAAAGGAAAAGACTTGTAAAATTCAGAACGCTAAAGGTGAGAAACGCATAAAATGGGACACCGATAAACTAAAAAATGCTACTAACGAAAAATTGTACAAACAAGAATTAGGAAGGCAACTTACTAAATATGTCCCGTCTAACAACATTGATGAGGAGTGGCAAAATATAAAAACAGCAGTGACAGAGTCAGCCAAAAATATTATTGGGAAGGCAAAGCGTACAAGAAATATGGAATGGTTCGATGAAGAATATATGCAAGCACTTACTAAAAAGAATGAAATGCGGCTTAGATATCTACAAAACAACAGTGTAAGAAATGTAGAACTTTATAAGACTGAGAGAAACAAATGTAGGAAATTAGCGAGATGCAAAAAAAGGAACGCAGAAACAGAGCGATTCAAGAGAATGGAAGACCTGAGAGTACGTAATTTTACACGCCCCTTCTATAGGGAAATAAACAGCCTTTGTAAGGGATATCAACCCAAAACCAACGCATGCCAAGACAAGTCAGGGAGTCTAATCACGGAAAAGGCAGACGTGCTTAGGAGATGGCGGGAACATTTTAGCGAACTCCTAAACATATCGAATGCAACAGACAAAGAGACCATCTTTTTCGACGTTGAGGAGCGATTAGAACCACCCACAAGAATGGAAGTCCATCAAGCCATTCGTAGTCTGAAGAACAACAAGGCACCAGGGCTTGATACTATCACCTCAGAGCTACTCAAAAGAGGCGGAAGCGGTATCGTGGAGAGAATGCACGGACTCGTTACTCTTATATGGGAGGAAGAAAAAATACCCGAGGAGTGGAATTCAGGTATTATTGTACCGATATTCAAGAAAGGGAATAAGAGTATCTGTAGCAATTACAGAGGTATTACAGTCCTCTCAGCGGCTTATAAAGTTTTGTCAGGAGTTATTTATAGGAGGCTCTGTGGTTATGCTGAGGAGATATTGGGAGAGTACCAATGCGGATTCCGACCTAATCGCTCTACTGTAGACCAGATTTACCTCCTGCGGCAAACACTGGAAAAGGCGTATGAATACAACATTAACTTTCATCATATGTTTGTGGATTTCAAGCAGGCATTTGACAGTGTGAACCGTACACAAATACTCTCAGCATGCTACATTTGCGTGTGCCCAGTAAATTGGTTAGGCTTGTCGAAGCCACGTTAAAGCACTCTAAAGCTGTTGTAGCCATACAGAATGACTGTCCGAGCCTTTTGAGATCCGTTCGGGAGTGAAAAAAGGAGACGCGCTATCGTCTATAGTCTTCAATTTGGAACTTGAGGCAGCCACACGTAAATTGAACATCAATGGCCTGATTAATTACAACACCACTCAACTCACTGCGTATGCCGATGATATTGTTATTACCAGCAGGTCAAGAAACAGGATGATCGACCACTGTCTAATGCTGGAGACCGAAGCCGCGGCTTTTGGACTGCGTGTAAATGCATCCGAGAATGAGTACCTTGCAATAGCTAGACAACCTGGACAGCCTCAAAACGTTAATGTTGGCAATCAAACAATAAAAGGCGTGAGCAGCTTCAAGTATCTAGGAGCAACGATTACCTCCCAAAATAGATCTGACGAAGAGATTAAGGCACGGATAGTTGCTGGGCACAAATGTTATTACGCGTGTGCCAAACTCCTGGGTTCTAAGCTGCTTAGTGTGAAATCGAAACTCACCATCTACTACACCATCATCAGGCCTCTTGTGACTTATGCCTGTGAAACCTGGACTTTAACCCAGAGAGACGAACTGAAGCTTGCCGTGTTCGAAAGGAAAGTGCTGAGAAAAATCTATGGCCCCATCAAAGAGCGTGACGGTATCTATCGTCAACGCGCGAACCATGAACTGGACGCACTTATCGGGCACGAGAACATCGTCAGGTTCTGTAAGTTGCAGCGACTGAGGTGGGCGGGTCACCTTGAAAGAATGCCGGATACTAGAGCCGTAAAAATAATCACAAAGTGGACGCCGCAACAAAAGAGACCGAGAGGCAGGCCTAAAAAGCGTTTGAGTGACTGTGTGGAAGAAGATCTCAGGAAGATGGGAAAGTTTACCAGCTGGAAGAAGGTAGCCAGGCAGCGTGACAACTGGAGGAAGATTGTGGAGGAGGCCAAGACCCACAAAGGGTTGTAGCGCCAACGGAAGCAAGAAGCCAGCAAAATTATTATATAAATGCATTTTTAAAGTTTTATTTTACAGTTAGTTTAGTTACGTTACGAAGATTAGGCCAGGGTTGGATTCAGACCCTTAAAAATATTGTACATGGAATATAAAATTATACTATTTAAAAAAATATATCACGTTTGACGTTTCATGTTTCTTTTTCCATCGTTTACCCAGAAATGGAGCTAATTCTAATTTTATTCAAAAAACGCGGTACTCGTGTACAATACAAAAATCCTCGATATCGTAGGGTTAATATTAAAATGTAAAAGGACCCAATAATAATACAAGTCGACCTTCAGGTAAAATTATGGTATTTTCGCTTAGTATTATTACGATTCTATGTACTACAAACTATGAAATAATGGTATAATTATACTACGAAATCCGACCCTGGTTACGTGGTGTTTTGATATGACGTTTGTATTATGACAGATGCGCTACTTTTTCTTGTATAAAAGAGTAAAATATTTAGATGGGCCTATCTTTCCTTTCGAAATCATTGGCTGTAACTTATTAAATTTTACATTTGTATCTTAAGAAAACTGTATTTCACTTTTAACTGCACATTAATAATATATAAAACTCAAAACTGATACACAAAAATAAAAAACGCTTTACTTGCCTTGAAATTCAATCCACAAACTACTGAAAAAGAAACTTGAAATCATACAAAATTTACGGGCCAGTCAGTCAATCCGTCTGTAATTGCTGACAGACTGGCAGCTGACAAATCAGCAACATTTTAAAATTCTTTGGCAACAGTCTCTACTCTGTGCTATTGTTTGACCACATGTTATTAAATGTTGTTTTATTTAATTGAAGCGAATGTATTGGTAACATATACTGTATATAAACTTTAAACTTTTTGAACTCCTTTTCTATATAATGTGAGAGCGTGGTAGAGCCATACTGCAACTTTATTATGGTTCTAGCACGAACGGGTCGGCTCGACCGGGGAAGGATCACGCTCTCCCAGAATACTAACGTACCTAAAATAGCAACTTAATGCTGCTGTCTTTCTTATGGTGAGTGTAGAGAACCGGAGACTCTTTTTTTGGAAACGAGGCATTCTATCTTAGTCATCAGGGGTGACAACGCATTTGCATTTTAATTCTTAATTGGGGATAAATGTATATGTTTGTGGGCTACAGCATCTACTTACCATAGGTAGTCTGTGTGTTCGTTTGTCAACTTTATTCTAAAAGAATATATATAAACTTTAACTATGCCAAATCACACCTTTCCTAGTGCGCGTAGTATGCTTAAAAAGAAGTACAAAATGATATAAATTAAGACCTCGGCATATAATTGATACAGATACATGTACACAATACAATAGAAATTAAACCAAACGTTAATTCGAAGTGAACCACGATTCTCACCCGAGTTGCACAAACGCATTTTTTTGCGCCCGAAGCAATAAGGTCAACCCTCCGGTAACGGGGAAGGGAGGTGGAGAATGTTCATAGCATAACACGCTGCGTGGTTATGTGGATACTTTTACCCACTAAACTCCACCTTTTGGGATCGGCTTACTGATCTGACGAGAGATCTTTAAGCTGTAAACGGACGTGACCCTCCTTGGCAGAGAGGAGGGCGCAGACAAACGCATTGCGTTGCACATAGTATAAATAGATTGTTGCGGTTTGGCGCAGATACTACCTGCGCGCGTGCAGCTCGTGGTGCGGCGCGGGGGGCGCGGGCGCGGGGAGCGCGCGGCTGGGCTGGGCGGGCAGCGCGCGCGGGCAGCGCTTCCTTGCGCGCGCGCCGCTGGAGCTACGAGCGCGCGCCGCCGCACGCCGCTTTGCTTTCCCGCCTGCCCAACCCCGCCGACCCGCTCGCCTACGCCATGCGGGTGAGTGTGCGTCGTGTGCGTGTGCGTGTGCGTGAGTTATTATGTATGTGTGCAAGCGTGTACTTCCGTTCGTATGTGGTTACATGTACACGTTTTATACGTGGTAGAGCCATACTGCAGCTATATTAGTAGTAAACTTGTAGCACGAATAGGTCGGCAGACCGTGTAAGGACCACGCTCTCACATTTTTTACCAGCGTAAAATAACAGCTTAACGCTGCTGTTTCGTATGGTGAGTGTAGAGAACCGGAGATCCTTTTTAATGGAAACGAGGTATTCCATCTTAGTCCTCACGGGTGACAACGCATCTGTTTGATTTGTAGTTGAGTGTAGATGTTTATAGGCCACAGCAATACCCAGACCTCTATAGTATACGTGGTAGAGATGCTGCAGTTATATTAGTAGTATAGTTGTAACACGAATGGGTCGGCTCGACCGGGGAAGGACCACGTTCTCACAGAATACCAACGTGAAATAGTAGTTTAATGCTGCTGTGTTTCGTATGGTGAGTGTAGAGAACCGGATACCCTTTTTACTGGAAATGAGGCATTCCATCTTAGTCCTCACGGGTGACCACGCATCTGCATTTTAATTCGTAATCGAGGATAGATGTAAATGTCTATGGGCCACAGCAACCACTTACCGTCAGGTGGACTGTGTGCTCGTTTGTCACCTTATCCGTTAAAAATAAAAATAAAAATAATAATTACTACTAACATAAACAGCAATACGGGGGCTTTAACCATGTGGACACACCAACCGAGAAAATTTGCCCCACCCCACCTTGCTTTCCCTATCGATAGTATTTAATAATTTAGCCCTGAACTGTAACCCGGATTGGGTGTTATATTAAATTCATTCGTAATTAAAGGTGCTTCATCGCCATGTGGTGACACCAACGTGACATCGATGCCTCGGGCGACCACAGTAGCAATATGCGCCAATTTTTAATTACTAATTATAATAATCGCATACATTAAATGTTTTCAGTTCTTCATATATGTGCGACAAACATACACAAACATGATGTTGTCATCCGCCTTTTGTTTGTCATCTTCATCGTACATATCCACTTCTTCAAAATAATTCAAAATTGATTTAATGAGCATGGAATAGATTTTATTTTTATCGCCACGTTTAACAAGTCGATCGATGTTAACAGTACGAAAGATCTCGCAACTCTTTAATGGTTCCGTTTTTCATATATGTTATGGCATATACTCGTATGAAGCGATTACAATACCATCTGTCGTGGATTTTGAGACTTTCGAGTATATATTACACCACCGATTATCGTATTTTATGATTACCATTCTTATTTTACCATATTGTTATTTTACGATACGAAATTGAGTGACTATTTTATTCCTCATACATGCAGTTTTCTTTACGATATTATCTTCCTTTATCGTCGAGCATGTGGTGAAATAGAAGTTAAAATAGCAATTAAAAATTATACTGCTGTCGGTGGGGATCGAAACCAGACTTGGAGCGCTTACAAACTGAGCTACTCGTATCACGGCTCGTTTTGGTAATTAAATTATAATTCACTACTTTAATTAACTAAGGGTTTTTGCTCGTTTGAAATATTTCAGGCTTATCATCTGGAACTGCTTCAAAAGAGTCTGCACATGTTGCTCCGTGCAGACGAGCGCAGTAACACTCGCGACGTTCTCGACCTTGTTAAATTAATTATTGACGATGTTTCTACCGACGCCCCACAACATACAGGTACTAATTAAATCATAAATTACAAACAAATTGTATTTACTGCAATAAGATTAAAGTTGACGAATTTTAAGATTTTTTTTTAATCTTAAAAGAGGTGACAATCTGCTAAATGTTATTGTTTAATTAATTTACTCGGGCTAGTATCTCAAACTACACGACATAAAAATTGTAAACATTGAAATAAACGCGAAGATTTCCATTACGCAAATAAACATTTATCGATATTTGCGATATTCTTATGTAAATAAAGATTTTTATACTATACGCGGTAGAGCCATGCTGCAGTTATATTATAATAATAAGGTCCTCCAGACCGATTTCGGTCACAGCGGCCAGATTCAACAGAGGCTAGCCATCGGCGCAGGACAGGATTATAGTGCCCAAGTGTATGCGCAAGCACAGGTTCATTCTCCATTCCTTCACTCTCATAATCCGATGGGACGGTAAACCAACACACCGGTGAGAGATCAGGCGCAGGACCAACGGCTTTACGTGCTTTCCGAGGCACGGGGGTGAGACACCGCCAACTTCCTGACTCCGGGCTCCAGCTATATTAGTAGTATAGTTGTAGCACGAATGGGTCGGCTCGACCAGGGAATGACCACGCTCTCACAGAATACCAGCGTAAAATAGTAGCTTAGTTAGCTTTTTACTGGAAACGAGGCATTCCATCTTAGTCCTCACGGGTGACAACGCATCTGCATTTTGATTCGTAATCGAGGATACATGTAGATGCCTATGAGCCACAGCAACCACTTACTATCAGGTGGACTGTGTGCTCATTTGTCACTCTATTCTATAAAAAAATTGAATTTAAGAAATATTCAGTCACTTCCTGAAGTATTTCCTTACACAAGGTTAAAGTAATTAAAACAAAAAAACTTTCTAAGTAAAATAGTTTTCGATTTTATAATAGAACAAATAATTAATCTCAGGGCTTCTTTTTATTACTACGTTTTTACTAAGCGATTTCAAAAAAAATTTGATCCTGTTTTGGAGTTATAAGTGGCTATTCATTAATTACGTAAGAGAGTTTTTGACGATTTTTGATCCCCCATCTTATGTACCCCATACTACCATGGGTGGTCCGTGGGTACATAATATTCATGTAAGGGTACATAAGATTTCTAGAAAGCCCCCCTCCCCCTTTCCTCTTACGTAAGAACCTGGATCATCAAAAGGATATTTGTCCTTGTGAAAATTATGTATGTACGAGTAAACTACCCCCACGATAAAGGAGAAAACCCTACTGAGGAGGTAACATTTTTATAAGTAGAAAAAGAATATTCTGCTTAATTTACCGACACAACTTGAAAAAACTAATTTACGGAATCGGTTAATTACTATAATAAACCAGGGGGATGAGATTGACTACAATGTCAAGTTAGTCTACCTTAACCAAACAAAAAAAATAAAAAAAACTGAGTAGGACTAACTAAAATCCCCCAATAATATAAACCGAAAAATCCGTAAATTTTAAAAGAATATTCTGTCATTTTTTAGAATAAATGGAATGTTGTTATAAAAGGATCAGTTACACTAAAACTCAAGCTTTGATGTAAATCAAAGATTTTTATTTTTTACAGATAGTTTAGGTCATAGACATAGAATACATGGTTTTAAAGACGACCTGACACCCCGAAAACGCGTGACCAATTTTGATTTGTCATTGTGTGCGTTAGCTAGGGATGTACATTTTACTAACAAGGACTATTGAAAAATTATTGTTAAGAAAGCGGTAAAAAGATTAAAAAACTGGTTAATGCATGAAACTGAATAACTTCAAAACTTAACTGAATGCATACATGATATTCTAAAGCAATAAAAAAATATTCATATAACATGTTGTAAGCAGCACCCACCTGCGTTTTGTTGGATTTTAATTCAAAATCCCAATAATCTTCTGAAGAGGTGAGTCTACCGGATCACAAGTATCAGATCGAAAAATTGTATTTCGGCCCTTTAGAAAAAAATATTAACTGCCATAGACAGTATCCTCGGAATTTCTTTATCACCATAATTTAAATCAAATATCAATTGGTAGATACTTAATTAAGTAATCACCTATTAATATGTAATGTATTTTATAAAATGTTTTGCTGATTAAATAATAACGGGGACATAGCGTGCATAATGGCTGCTTTATTTTTCATATTTTAAGTATTACTTTTAATAATTACAAACATTTAATAATTAACAATTAAATACAATAAATAAGTTTATTTTAACATTCGACTTAAATATGAATGTAAACTTAATAATTTAAGTAAGAAAACTTGTACCTATCAGTTAAATAAGATTGTTCTGTTTAAAGGCCAATATGTTTATGGGACGGGGCTACTCTCTATCATCTTTCCGTGAAAAGAGATGTTCCAGAAATGTATGGAGCCTGGGCTAGCACTATGTACACTATATATTAAAATCGCAATATATTATAGTTATCGGTTTTTGTTAGTTTTCTTTAATTTAACTTCGTTTCAATGTATATTCAAATTAACTTGGTCAAGGAGAGCAACACAATTACTCGAGTAGTATCAATACTTTTGAGTCAATATTTTTATCGGTATAGACACTTTTTATTCGATACATGTACAGTCACAAGTTTTTTCTTTATTCTTACATACGACAGTTACCTTTCTAAGAATACGATAAAAATGTTACTGTGATATTCTGTTACTCGTCACAAGCTTTTTCCTTTTCTCGCATAGGTTCAACACCTTAGTCAGAAAGAGAAGTACCTAAGGAAGTATCTTAAAATAGCCACCTGTCACTGTGACAAACTGAAAGAACAGCTCATCTCAGAGAATTAATTATCTACCAAGACTATATTAACAGACTGCTATTTTATAACAGGTTTTAGGAACTGTTATTTATTTGGATATGGAACAGGTAGAGTAGATGCACAGTGCTACAGATAGATACATTGGGCTGTAACAGGTAAACAACTGTTGCAGCCCACTCTTAAAGCAAAGAAAGACTCAAAGATGTCTCTTATAATTATAGTCATTTCTTAAAACTGTCAAAGTCGTCAAACGTCATGTCAAACAACTGTCATGGCTGCCTTTAAAATAGGGTTATCGTAACAAAAAACTTTTCAAATAATCATTAATACGCCTATACCCTTTTTCAAATTAATTTGTTAGTTATTTTATGAAATTTCTCAATTTTTTCCTATTTATCTATATAGTGTACATAGTGGTAGCCCAAAATCAAACATCTCCTTTATTACAATTTTGCATGCATGAATTAACAATATGAATTAACATAATGATATTAACAGAGACTAGCCAAATACGAAGGAGATATTAAAGTGCAGAGATGGGAGAGATGGCTGACAGAAGTTCCTTTGGACAGCCTTAGCGAGAGACCAGAATGCACGTGTTCCCGAAGGAAGACGAACTAATTCTGTCAGCCATATTTTTTATAGGATAGGGTGACAAACGAGCACACAGTCCTCCGATGGAAAGTGGTTGCTGTGGCCCATAGACATCTACATATTATATCATCTTAGATTACGAATCAAAACGCAGATGCGTTGTAACCCGTGGGATACTAAGATGGAATGCCTCGTTTCCAGTAAAAAGGGTCTCCGGTTTTTACTGCAGCAGGGCTCTACCACGTATAATCCTCCCATCTCTGCACAGGGAGGACGACTCCACTGGCCCATGCCGCAAAGGACAAAGCCGATCTGCTGCGCTCGTTCTTTGCATCCAACGCGACTCTTGATGACGGGGGAACACACCGCCGACCATCCCGCGGTGTGAGTGCTCCATGCAGGATGTGCTGTTTACCCGATGCTCGGTACGCAGGGCACTCCTCTCCCTGGACGTCAACAAGTCGAGTGGCCTTGATATCCGTCTCTTCCTATTGTGCTGAAGACGTGTGTTCCAGAGTTGGCATCGGTTTTAACGCGTTTTTCCGGTACTCCTACCCCCTAAGCGTAGTCTGGAAATCATAGAAGAGAGCCGTCGTGCACCCGATCCCTAAAATAGGTAACCGCTTTGATCCGTCCAACCATATGCCTATCGCCATCACCTTGTTCTCTAAAATAATGGAATCCATTATTACCAGCCAGCTCATGCGGTACCTTAAACCTTGAAGATCACCAACTGATTCGTGACCGGTAGTACGGTTTCCGTCGTGGTCGCTCGGCTCGTGATCTTCTGGGTTACATAACTCATAAACGGGCGGAGGCAGCAAAGTCCAAGGCCACGCCTCCAGCGTTGGCCGTTAGTTTGGACATAGCGAAGGCCTTCGATCGGGTTTGGCACAAAGCGCTTCTTACAAAGCTTCCTTCCTATGGGCTTCCCGAGAAATTGTGCAATTCGATAACCAGTTTTCTTGGAGATCGGAGCATCAAGGTCGTATTAGAGGGTGCATGCTCCGATTACAAGCCCATCCGCGCTGGTGTTCCACAAGTAATGCTTTATACACCGGCCGTGGCAATATTTCTCCGGAAAACGTCGCCGAGTACCGGGATAAACTTGTGTCTGAAGTCGAGACTTTGTTGAATAGAGTCTTCGACTGGGGCGACTAAATCTAGTCCAGTTTAATCCCCAGAAGACACAAGTTTACGCGTTTACCGCTAAAAAATCCCCTTCGTCGGATCGTCTCCCCAGTTTCAAGGCATTCCCCTTGTTGCCTCAGCCAGTATCGGAATCCTCGACGTCGACATATCGAGTGACGTGCAATTTTGTGGTCAATTGGAAGAGAAGGCGAAATTGTCCTCTAAAAAGCTTGGCGTGCTCAGCAAAGCGGAACAGTATTTCATGCCAGCAGACCGCCTGCAACTTTACAAGGCGCAGTTTCGGCCGCACATGGAATACTGTTCGCATCTCTGGGCTGGGGCTCCCCAGTGCCAGCTCCTTCCATTTGATCGCATCCAGAGCAGAGCTGTTGGAATCGTCGGCGACCGAGCTCTTTTCGATCGGCTTGACTCACTGGCACTGCGAAGAGATGTTGCATCTCTTTGCGTATTTTACCTGGGAGTGCTCTGAGGAATTGTTCAGACTAATTCCAGCCGCACAATTTCACTATCGCACATCGCGACAAAACTCGCGATACCATCCATACCATCTGGACGACTGACGATCCACCACAGTGCGATTTAAAAGAAGTTTTCTTCCTCGCACAACTTCCTTATGGAATCGACTACCACCAGAGATTTTTACGGGCCGGACTGACCCCGCCGCAAGTGCAACTCCCTTTGCATTGTTCGCGTCAGATTTATTGATCCGTGCCGTTTGCCCCCGCAGCTATTACTTAAGTGCACCAATACGAGACTCCTCTTGTCTACGACGTGACGAACCACGCTATTAAGCCCTCAATATTAAATGCTATGGAAATTATAGTATCCTGCACACAGAACCACGCGTCTCATGCGTGGGCGTCTAGCGGCACTACAGTAGTTTATACATTTTTACATATCGATCGATAAATAGATACATCTTTAATGTACTACAGTTTAATAATGTATAAAAATCTATCTATCTTTATCTTTATCAAAAGTTTTGGAGGTTAAATTTTTGAAGTCTTACACAAACTTACTGGTACAAATAATGTAGAAATGGCTCCTTCTAATGAAATTGGTTATATTCTACTGTTTCTTTGATATTTTTCAAGAAAATGCTTGCTACAAACTGTGGAGTTCTTCTTTGGGTTCCAACCAACCCACTCACTTAACCTCAACCATTTTTTTAAATTTTAGTGAATCCGGAGGAAATTCGTTTGACAAACGGCAAAATAAAATTACATTATTAGAACGCAACCGAGCATTAATTTCATTCCTCTTCTTGTTGTGTGGGCAAGTCTATCGATTAATTATAAACATTCAAGATAAATATTGACATTAATTTTGATATAGTTGAGTCAATCCTACATGTAAAATATTTTCTATGAAAGTGTGTTTACCAAATTCATGCAAATTATCAACAACGTGACTTTTTTCGTTGCAAAATATCACAATTAATAAAATAATTGAAAATATTATATATTTCAAACATAATACACAAACTTTAACCAAACATATAACATAAATTTTAACCAAAAATAGACGCGTTTTATTATTGACGACGTCTTAAGAACTTACCTGAGAAATGTGCAATTATCAGGATTATTTCTATTATCAACACCACAGTCATTCTCAGAACAAGTAGGTAATCAATTTGGAAAACAATTACTTGCTGATAATAAAAGCTATTATACTATAAAAAATTACAAAATATCTCGGTGCTCATTTCTTGCGTGCCGACTTGTGCCGTCCGGTCATTCAAAATCGGTTACAAAGTCATGAGATTTGCTATCCTTGTCTATTTTGCTATATTGCCATAAGGGTCTAAATCTATGGTTATACTCCTTTTTTGCTATAAGATATAGATTACTATTATTATTAGATAACGACTTCAGATAGTATCTAGTCTTTGGAATATCATTATTATAATATCATTAATATAAGTAAGTTTTAAATAATCTTAAAGTGAGCAAACATAAATCAGTTAGTAGTCAAAACAATATGCAAATTCTATTGTTGCTAGAAAATAAAAGAATCATTTTTTATATTCCAAATAATTAAAATATGATTAATACGCGGGGAAAATGTACGATTATTACTATTTATAACATTAAAAATGGATAAAAAATAAAACACATTTAAGATTTAATTTTTTTATAAACGATAAGAATTTGTAAAATACGATGTAAACCGAAGTGTACATCATAGAATTAAGGAAACTATTCGGCATCCGAAATAGAACTACTAAGATTTCTAATATCAAATTTCGACTTACAAAATACTACGTCAGAATCTGGTTTACCCCCAGTTCCCAATAAAAGGGCATGTAGAGATTTCTGTAACCCATCGCGATCCTTACGTTTGCAATGTGGAGCAAGGCAAGAAACCACAGACGTTATTAAATGTTATTAATGAATAACCCCTAAGTATGTGGGTATATGTATTTTGCAGGCTCGCAGATGTTAAAGGATTTTATGTAAAATATCATCTATATGTATGCGTATAATATGTACACGATTTTTTCGCAACTAAGGGACGTATTAGTATTTTTCCTTACATAAAGCTTACTTGCAGGAAAATTCGTAGGTAGGTTAAGTCAACGATTCTCAAAGCATAGACACTAGTTTTCAATATTTAATTTTGATCTATGCTAGAGTGTGTGTATATTTGTATATATTTTAATTCAAAATTCATTATATGGCTCTGGTCAAAGTGTTTCATTGCACTTACTTATTCCTGTGGGTTATAATTCTGTGCATTATAAACACATGAATATACGAGGTAGCACTTTGATATGGGGCAGTATAAAAAAGTATAAGAGTTATATACATGATAATGAATGTTGCTTTTTAGGTTGCTGGGATCCAGTTATGGAGTGGTGGACAAACATTGTTGGTGTTGCGGCTACGTGGCTGTTGGGGGATATCAGTAAAGCAAATGAAATTGGTGATAGACTCAATATGTTGCCCGAGTCCCTTGTAAATAGTGAGGACCCATTACCTGGGTATGTAGCTTTATTTAAATTGGCATTTTTGAGCTATAAAATAAACTAGAAATTATTATCGACTACAAGTTCTTTCGGGTTACACAAGACTTGATTATTGTCCCATTTTTATTTCTTATTTTTATTTCATTAGTTTAGTAATTTTCTCTAGCATGTTATTATATATTTGTATTTATTTGCTGATGATACTTTATAGCGAGGCCATATGGATGAAGAACTTTTGGTGAATGATTTAATAAATATGATTACCTAACTAGAAATGTAAATATACAGGATGTTAGGAAGATGGTTGCAAAGCCTGAAGGGGATGACGCCTTAGACCATTTAAAACATATTAAAAGCTAAACTTGTTTGAGACGAAGTCTGCTCATTTTTGTGCTTTGTGGTTTAAGATATTTATTTCTCAAAATAATTAAAATTTACTTACATGAGAAATGTTTTACAACAATAGCATAAATTAAACGGCACGACACACAAACAACTGCCAACAAAATAATAATACACTTTTTTGTTTATAATCTAAGCAAATAATGTTAAAAAGTTATAAGTACTTAGTAAAATAATAAAAGACTACAAAGATTAAAATAAACATTCATGACTGTTACCTTACTCCATTTGGTCCGATCGCCGAGTGCAAAATTATTCATATACCGACTTTAAGCTTTACTTAATCGAATTGACGTTGAACTATCGAGACTGAAAGTGATATGCATTCTTGATTGAGCGCAATTTTTACTTGGTCATTTTTTTAAATTGAATTTCTAAGGGTTTTAGTGTTAAGACGATTATTTTTACTTTTATACGGACCAAAATAATGCACCATTTTTGCTAATGCACTATTGTTTTCGTTAGAACTGATTAGTTTTTAGAATTACGGTGAGGTTTTGTTATTACACCTTATTCAAATCAGCCCAAGTTCGATGCACATCTACTACGATACTACGAGCGTCAGAGCAGTAGCTCAAAACCGCAACATTTCGGTATGGAAGGTATGGAATAAGATACACCGAGGAAACAATTATCCTTTTCGTGACACGGGTGTATAAGGTTTGGAAAATGAAGATCCCCTACGAGGGATACAGTTCTGTCGCTTTTTGCTAAATTGTGACATTGAAGATAAATGGTTTTTAAAATCCATCTTGTGTACCGACTAGTCAAAGATTTCGAAGGAAGAAATTACCAACTTTCATAACCTTCGTCCATGGGCTGGAAAGGTCAGCAATCCACACTGGAAGAGGCAAGTGTCGTTTCAAAGGAAAGTTTTAGTATACGTGTGAGCAGGAGTAATCGGCCGAACGTTGGTAGGTCCACACTTCCTACCAGATAATTTAAATGGAGCCAATTACCTGGAATTCTTCATAAACTGTCTTCCAGAGATGTCTTCTGGACGAGAATACCAATATTGGCAACGAGAAGACCAATGATCTTTCAGCAAGATCGTTGGTGGATGGCACATTTAAATAATTGTTTCCCAGAGAACTGGTTCGGCAGAGACGCCCATCCTTTGGCCATCTCGATTGCATGATTTAACTCCTGTGGATGTTTTCGTTTGGGATCGGGCCAAGGAGCTCATCTACACGCAATATCAACCAGAGAGGAGTTAATAGGAAAAATCTATACGGCTTTTCAAGTTCTGAAGCAAGAGATGAAAATGAAAATGACGACCACAGAAGTGAGTAGACGAGCCCGCGCTTCCGCGTTTCCGCGACATTTTGAACACAAAATATTAACAAAAAATGTTATTTCATTGGTCTGTTAAAAATTAAAAATATTCGTCTGCAATTTGCTTTGTACACCCTAATTCGAAGAGATGATGTGACATCTGCGTAAATAATACCCAAAAGAAAGGGCAACAACTAAGCGTTGAATAAAACTGGTGTTGCGGTTGATCATGGGCGGCGGTAGTCACTTAACATCAGGTAAGCCACATGCTCGTTTGCCCCCTCTTCTATATAAAATAAAAAACTAAATTTACGGATTTGATCGCGTTTAATTAACTACTTTTACTAATGTACGTAATTAAACCGATAACACCCAACTAAAAAAAGAAAAGTATGAAATAAACATTCAATTTATTTTATTCAATGCGATAAAATCCGTCAATTTAGTTTTATTCAATGTGTAGTGTTCGCGTAAATTTAAGAAATCATAATAACTAAGCGTGTTTTAAAAAGGTTTGAACAACAAAGGCTATTTTTATGATTACATAAAAACAATATTTCCTTTACGTTTTACGGTCTCTTAAACTTGAACGTGCGTAGAATGTTCTCCTGATGATAAAGATGCTTGGAAATTATTTTGTTTGAGTAATCATACATTATATAAATAAAAAAACTAATAAAAATAATAACATAACAACTGTTACTGGACACTATTAGCATTAATTGAAACAAAAAAATGGTTTTAGTGTTAAAAATCTTAGAAGTTCAATTAAAAAAGGAGCACATTTCGTCTGAGACAAGTTTAGCAAAATATGTTTTCTAAATGGTTTAAGTTATTATCACCTTCAGGCATTGCACTCATCTTCCAAACAGCCTGTATATGTATGATATATAAATATAACAATAAATTACATGCTCGTTTTTCCTACGGAAATCACTCCCTTATAATCAATCAAAGAAACTTTTGGATTGGGAAACGCCTGGATTTTTTTTCTCGCCACGCTTGGTAAGTTCTATCAATCTGGCAGTGGTGTGCCCAGGATCAGACAATAGGGCAAGCCAAACATTTTTTCCGTGTGGTGGCGGTGTAAGATAATCCACCATCCCATTTCGTCTCGTGGGGGTCGAAAGAGACATCTATCGGAGAGGCTAGAAAAATATGGCTATTTTATAGAATTTGACATCACCGTGTAATGTAAGCCAAATGTAAAATAAATACCTTAGATCGTCATCCAGGAGCAGCGTCAAAGGACAATCCTATCAAGCGTGCCGATTATGGAACATCCTTCCTATAATAATGGGAGAGGCCCATTAGCAGCTGTGGACAGGCGAATGATTTTTTTTAGAACTAATTATTACGGGCAAGTTAACTGTTACTGGTACAAAGGTAACTGAGCAGAGAAGAGTCAGTCACGCTGCTTTTCTTATAGAATAAGGGTGACAAATGACCACACAGTCCACCTGATGGTAAATGGATGCTGTGGCCCAGACATCTACATTTATTCTCGATTAAGAATCCAAACGCATATGCGTTGTCACCCCTGAGGACTAAGATGGAATGCCTCGTTTCCAGTAAAAAAGAGTCTCCGTATCTCTACACTCACCATACGAAACACAGCAGTATTAAGCTGCTATTTTACGCTGGTATTCTGTGAGAGCGTGGTCGTTCCCCGGCCGAGCTGCAGCGTGACTCTACCACGCTTCAGTGTGTATTTTTTTATTTGAGTTACTGTACTTCACGTGACTGCGTCATATTTTATTTACTTACTTGCTCTTCCCCGCGACTTCGCCCGCGTGGAAATTATTAGGATTGAATTTAATGGGTTTTAATTTTTTTGTGCGCAACCCTAATTATTTTTTGAAATAAAAGTAGCCAAGTTACGCCTTATAACATCAGTATCTGCGAGTGAAAGTCACATCAAAATCGTTCTGGTGATTTCGAATTAGCCATAAACAAACAGACAAAAATTTTAAGTAAATATTTCCTTTTGTAACGCATAGTTTAACGTATACGTTTATGTGCAGTAAGAAAATAGTGCTGTTATTTTGAAATTACAAACGGACGTTTCAATTTAATTGCATGAGCATGAAGCAATACTGAAATTAGCATTTAATTTGTTGCTTTGTTGTTGGTTTGCGGAACTCCTAAATGTCGTCGAAATTTGATTCTTTTTATCAGACGTTGAGTTTCCTCACGTCGTTTTCAACACATGATCAAAATTGCAGTAAACTTTGGGTTATCACGGCTTAGGCAAAAATACTTATGATCTCACAAACGCTTAGTAATCTACCACACTCTTAACAATGAGCTAATGAAAATTTCATACATGTGACAACTTAGAAATTCTAGTTCCGTTTGTGTTTTATAAACACGCGCATAGTTTATACTTGTGGTATTAATAACTATTGTCTTCCGTAGCATAAACATTAGCCGATTAGAGTATCGCTATTGTGTTATTATTTTATAGGGCACTGCACATGGCATACAAAAGTCGGCGCGGTCTTCTAAGCCTCGCTCAGTGTCGAGATGAACGCTCCATCGAAAGGACATCGGGGATCATTCTCAAGGTACGCTTTTGTGTTTATTCTGATAATATCCATAGTGCTGAAGGTTTAGCCACCATATTGATCGCATTTTTGTTCTGGTTTAATAATAGTGGCATATTTAAAATTATTCCCAAATCCGTAACAATTTATCATTTTACTTTTATAATATATAACTAATATACAACATAATATTATAGTATAATATTAATATATACATTTTTCCCTCTTTATTTTAAAAATATATGTAACATTTTTTCTTTTGGTTATTACAAAATTACTATTTTAAATTTTGCTGTTTTTCTATAATTTTTATAAGTAACGGAAAATAAAACAATTGATAGAGACCTGCGGGGTTATCCAAAATTTGTCATAAAATTGTTGACATTTTAGAATAGAATAGAATAAATTTTTATTCAATATAGATTACAAGTAATTCTTATTGAAAGTCAATATTTTACTTTACCACTGGTTCGAAAAAAAACCTCTGTCCTGGGAAGAACCAACAAGGAACCCAGCGGGACTTTTTAAAATAAATTTTGCATTGTCAAGGGTCACAAAATTTATTTTAGAAACAGCTTGGAAGCGACCACCTCATTCCCAGGGGTTATTATCAACCATGTATCCATTTATATCATAATAACCCTTTTTAAACAGTTTTTGTTTAATTAAATATTTAAACTTGGTAATACACAGACCTTCTATATTTTTTGGAACTTTGTTGTAATAGCATATACATTGCCCCAAGAATGAATTACTGACTCTGTGGAGTCGAGAAACTGATAGCACCAGCTTGTTTGTTCTTAGTGTTTACACAGTGTATGTCACTTTTTTTACTAAAACTACCTTTATTTTTGTGAACATAAATCAAATTTTCATAGATATACTGAGAGGCTAATGTTATATTTATTTCTTTAAATTTTTCTCTAAGAGACTCTTTCGGTTTAAGGTTGTAAATAGCTCTAATGGCCCTCTTCTGCAAAACAAAAATAGTTTCTAAATCAGCCGCATTCCCCCATAACAAAATCCCATATGACATTATGCTATAGAAATAACTGAAATAAACTAATCTATCTGTCTCGACACTAGTGAGATCCAAATCTTTTTTACAGCATAAGTTGCAGAGCTTAGTCTGCTTGCTAGTTTAGATATATGGGGGCCCCACTGAAGCTTAGCGTTGACAGTGATGCCAAGAAAAACAGAGGGCCCAACAGGACTCAGTTCTTCCCCATTTAAAATTATAAAAAGGAATGAAATGAAATATCTGTTTTTTAAACCACGTTACATTCATGTGACATTCATATTTATGGTTTCCTATATTGTTAACGATCGTAGAATATTATCTTGGCTAACCCCTTTATTCGGCCCTATGCCAGAGGCATAATAGAAGAACAAATCTCCTATATAACGTACAATAAAACAAAAATCATATTTTTAATTCACCCTTAGTATAACGCTATCATGCGATTTGCATGATTTCTATTTTGCTTACAAATTTCTGTGGCCTTAATCAACAATGAGCTTCGAAGTCAGATTTGACATTTTTAATTTAACCCTCATGAAATGGTTTCGAGAAAACTGTTTTATTGGAAAAGATATTATGGTGTGTATTGTGGTGGGTGGGTATTATGAGTACAATGTTTGTGTTGCCGTTTACACTTACTGTATAAAATGTAACAGATCAGCAGTGCGACAGACGCGAACCTTCAGATGAAATAAAATATATATAATACAAATACTTTAAATGATTTAGTTAATATTATAATTTAAACTACAAATTCGGCATAAAATATAAGAAAATTTATTTTATAGTAAATAAATTTAACAATCCTTTTAATATATATATATATAAAAAGGTTTGGCCGTTCGTCACTGCTTGTTTAATCCATAGACACCTTCGTACCTTGTTGTACAAAATGCGTAAGCGACGCCGTTTCGGCGGCGTTTACGACTTTTTTCTCGCGAGCATTGAGCTATAGTCTACATATAATGCATCCTATCTCATTTTCTCCCACGTTAAATCTTATGAATTTATGTCTGTCCCTTTTTACTGTCGCTTTTTCGTTTCATAGACTTTCAAATTACAACGATCTTTTTGAAGTTTTCACTTCAAAATAAAATAAAAAAAGCTTACAATCGAACGCCTTGTGGATTTTGTGCGTCAAGCAAGTCGGGAAACATTTGGTTTTGAAGTGAAAACTTCTTTAGAATCGTTATGATTTGAAATTCGATGAAATGAAAAAGTTAATCTACAAAGTGACACATACCTACTTTTATAGAATTTAGCCTGCGAGAGAATGAGATAGAATATAGTATACGGTGTTTATTATAAATTTATTTATATTTTAAATACATAAACCCTACAATTAACCTACTCCTGATACTCTGCATTCGTCTCATTCTCTCGAAGTTTAGTTTATTAAGGTTTCACTTCTAACGCGTGTGGAGCTGCACACATATTTATTTTTTATATTATTACTGTAAGAGTGACACACAAGTACACTGTTCACCTAATGTGGTGCTTCCCCGGTCGAGCCGACCTATTCGCGTTGCGACTATAAATAATAATAATATCCTCCAGACCGAATTTCGGTCACGGCGGACAGTCTCAACGAAGTCTAGCCATCTGCCCTTGATAGAATACCCAAGTACATGTGCAACACCAAATCATCGAGACAGACAACTAATTTACAAAAACATATTATTACTTTCACGTTATCGTTTGTATATAGGTGTGCGATATCGCTGGAGCCCGATTAGCAGATTCGCTGGCATATTATTGCTGCCGAAAACCAACACAGCTCATGATGGTAAGACAACAGAATTATATATTACTTTTTGTTAGCCAGGTTATATTCTATTATTTAATTTTAATAAAAGTGCGCATGTTATATAACAGGAGCATGAAGATGTGTAAGAAGAATGTCGAGTGCACCACTGACTATTGCGGGAGTGCATTGTAGTTGCATTGCACTTGTTACCATATTTTGTGCAATCTTACTACAAAGCAACTCTCGCTTTAGTTACATTCACCCCACTTTTTATCTAATATAGTACACACTGCTTTATATTTTATATCTTTTGCATTACAGTATGTTTTTATTTTGTCTCTATTTTTTAAATTGAAAAATTTTGCTTTAATATTTGTTGTAATTGATATGCCCCAGGCTGTTCGTTTCATTTCGCTTGTGTAAAACATTATTTATTTTTTAATTTTCTAAGAAATAATTTTTAGAACCTTGTCTATTTTGATGGCAAGAAAGCATCATGTTGAGAAATGATGATCTCATATTCATATTCATATTATTTATTGCATTCACAATGTTACAGTTAAGGTGTTAAGAACATTTTAAGTTTTAACTTAAAACTATGAGATCATTATGGGCCCTGCAGGGCACGGCAATTAAGAGAGAGGAGGGCCATTTTAATGAAACATTAATGATGAATACACTGTATAATATAGCAACTGTAGGTATTCTAGGTAGACATTTAAAGTTTATCATTTAGTATTTAATATGCTCGTTTAGTGTGTAGTAGTGTTTACAAATTAAAAATTCCTTTATTTATAAAATTAGTGTTTGTTTCTATTTTTTTATTGAGTTTGGGAGCTTGTTAAAAAATTTTATAGACATGACGAAGGGACCTGATGAATGTAATTTAAGGCGAGATATGGGTATACTCAGTTTTTCGTTATGGCGTAATTGGTATCTGGTATTACTTTCACCTCGTTTGATATAAAATTCTGGGTATTTTTGAATGAAGAAAGTAAGTAAGGTGAGTAATTTATATTTGACGAAGTATGGTTTGCAGCTATCAGTATTTTGTATGTATTGTATGTTAAGTATTATTCTATCTTATTTCCATTTTCTTTTGACATTTGGCGAGGTTACGTCACATAATATCAACGACATAAATAGAGTAATGAAACAAGCTCAGAGTAGAAACAATTATTGTGAGTATTACTCTGATATTTGTTGGTCAAAGATGTCAATTGTGAATATTCCTTTATATCATACAACATGACAATCTTAAGTTAGGGCTTCTAAATGTAGGTTCACTAGGTACAGGCCATGAAAAACTAGTAGTAGCTATAGATCGCCACGCTGTCGATTTAATGGCGATTAACGAAACTTGATTGCATGAGGGTGAGGAAGCGCGCGCGCCCGCGGTGCCAGGATACCGGTTACGTCACATTCCCCGACCGACCAATGTGCGCTCGCGAGGTGGCGGAGTTGGCTTCTACATACGGCAGGGTCTAGCTGTTCGAACGTTGCCTCATCCTTCGACTCCGCTTGTAGAATAAATGTGGCTTGATCTAACTATTAACGGTACTAAGATCGCGATTGGTACTGCCTATAGACCACCATGGTTAAACGTAGACACATTTTTCGATGCTTTGTCTGAAACTATCGGGACTCTTGCATGGTGCAATTATATAATCTTGTTAGGGGACTTTAATATAAATGTATTGAACACCGCGGATAGTAATTATAAAAAACTTAGAGATTTCTTACAGTGCTACAAATTGAGCCAATTTGTAGCTGAACCGACTCATTTCACCGATCATAGTCAAACCTTAATAGATATAGTTTGTACAGACATCCAGCAATACAATATTTTAGTTAATCACATACCCGATCTGAGTAGCCATGCATTTATTTGTTGTGAAATTAATTTCAAAAAGCCCAAACAAAAACCACTTATAATATCACGCAGAGACTTACATTCCATTGATGTCGAACAGTTTGAATTAGATCTAAAGTCGATGAACTGGGAAACCATCAACACACTGAATGACGTTAATGATATGGTATCTCTTTTTAACACAATGATGTTAACCATATACGATATTCATGCGCCTCTTTGCACAAAAACTGTAAGACATTTACAATATACTAGGACCACTTATAATATAAAAAAAATTATGAAACTCCGGGATGAAGCTGGTTTAGTAGCTAGTCTGGTTTAGCACGTAAATCTGGTTCAGAGATACATAAGAACTATTATAAGGAACTAAAAAAATACTGTATTGTGGCGCTTAGCAAAGAAAAACAGGCATACTATGACTACTATATCAACAATATTAAAAGAGATCCTAAAGCCATATGGTCACACATAAAAAATTTAAGGTTAATTTAAGCTAAAGACAGTACAGGAAATTGATATTGACTACTATATCAACAATACTAAAAGAGATCCTAAAGCCATATGGTCACACATAAAAAAATGTAAGGTTAAAAGTAAACCAGAACTACCGTATCATATTTTTAATGATCCCAATTTAATTAATACCAGCTTTTTAAATGCTCCTGGACATGATCAAATACTTCTAACACGTATCTCTTTGAATCTCATATAAAAGTTTCAAGTAAATTTAAGCTAAAGAGAGTACAGGAAATTGATATTTTAAAAATAGTACAGTTATTAAAATCAAATGCGGTTGGTATAGATGGCATATCCCTTAATATGCTCGAAATGTCAATACCCAACACAATATCTGTTATAACAAATATAATTAACAAATCTATAGAAACCCATACATATCCCACAGAATGGCAACACGCTTTGGTCAGACCTATTCCTAAAAACGCAAATCCAACTAACATGAAGGACATCCGCCCGATCAGCATATTGCCCTGTGTGTCAAAGATTTTAGAGAAGGTTGTGGTCGAGCAGCTAAGAAAGTAATTGGAAACAAATGAAATTTGGAAGGTTTTAGGCAACATTATAATACAACTACCGCTCTGATTAAAGTAATCGATGATATTCTGTCAGACCAAGACTCTGGAAAAGGCACAATATTAGTTCTACTAGACTTTTCTAGAGCATTTGACTGCTTGAATGTACCATTACTTTTGTCAAAATTGCACTATTATGGTTTCCACGTAACTGCGGTGAAATGGTTTGAGAGCTACTTTAAATATCGCGCACAGTGAGTAGAATTTCTGACCATAGAGGGTTGCCGCTAGTTTCCGATTTCAAGGTTTTGAAACAAGATGTACCTCAAGGCTCAATTTTAGGACCACTTTTGTTTGGTATGTACTGTGCAGATATGGTAGATCACATCAAACATTGTAGATACCATATGTACGCTGATGACACACAGATTTAAATCTGTAATATCATGTAAGCCTGAGGAAACTGAATCAGCAATAAACAAATTAAACGAAGATTTAGAAGGCATTGCTGATTGGTCAAAATCGAATGCTCTTGTTCTAAACGGAAATAAGTCAAAGTATATGATTCTAGGAACGGCTAAGCAAATTCAAAACATTGCGAATCAACGGCTTCATGTCACCATAAAAGGGGAACAAATTGAACGTGTGACTGAAACTCGCAATTTAGGTCTGCTTATGGATGATCGTTTGCGCTTCGAGAATCACATACTTAATACTGCTAGAAATTGCTTCTACAGACTTAAAGTCCTGTATCAAATTAGAAATTTCCTGAACACAGATATTCGAATAAGGCTCTGTGACTCATTAATTCTTTCTAAATTTAATTACATGGATGTAGTTTATAGTCCTCGTCTATTAATACGTAGTCAAAAACTCATTCAGCGAGTTCAGAACGCTTGTGCCAAGATTTTGCTTCGAGATACCGCCACGCACTCACGTTACGCCGTACATCAACAAAGGCAACATTTTAAAAATGAAATATCGTCGTCACTTTCATTTAGCAACACTACTGTTTGGTATAATTAAATATAATATGCCACCTTATCTCTTCCAAAAAGTTGGTGTGGTCGCGCGACGTAAATTCAAAAATAACTCGTGCGTCGATTTTATTCTCTCGCCGTGCCATTCCATCGCACCGCTGCTTTTCGTGGGAGCTTTAGGTACGCTGCCTCAAAGTGTTGGAACGACCTGCCGCCACCGCTTCGTAGCCTGAAAACAATTAAAACCTTTAAAGATAATTATAAAAACTATCTAATATTAACTCAGAAGAACATAGGCTGAAGCGTACTACTCACCAAAATGGGTACTGGCACATAGCATAGGCGGTCAAGGTCGCAACTAATAAAATGAAGTGATGATAATATAACCTTAAATTGGATACTGTTCGGATAGGTCCACTGACCGTAGACTAAAAAAAAGTGTAATTTAGTGTCGTCAATCAATAACTGAGGTAATTTATGTATAAGTTTTAGAAATAAGTGTTAAAAATATAAATATATTAATATAAGAAAACATATACAACGTAATAATAACTTTTGAAATAATGTAACATATTAATTAATAAAGTTAAGAGCACACTGGTAACAAAATTTTTGAAAATAAAAATAAAATAAATGCATTACGTACATACCGTTTGGTTTGTCAATCATCAAATCAATAATTTCAGCATAGTTAGACAGATTGGTTTTAGAATATTATTATGTATCACTCGCGGACGTCCGTACGTTACTATCCGTTCGGGCCCACTGAAAACCAGCGCTGTTGCTCCGGCGACAGCATAAGCTGAGTGAGGTCCGTTTGTATGAAGCGCCACAACATACTCGTACAATATGAGAAACGATTTTTTTTGTCTTTCTATTTTTTTTAAATTATAATCTATAAGTATTAATACTTTTAAATTGTTTTATCCGTCAAATTGTGGTTTTGTTTCCTATTTTTGTTTTTGTTTGTTATAATGTTTATAATTGATGTGTCAAAATTTAAGTGCCTACTGATGTTTGTGGCGTGCTGCAATAAATCTTTCTTTCTTCTTTCTTTCTTTCATTAAAAATTCTTAGTAAGTGTATGAATGTATGCATCATAACGTTAATGGCCACTGACCTCTATATGTGGACTGGCTGTACACCGTGACA